GTGAATGTGTGGCGGTTAGGGGGTTGCTGGTGAGTGGGGAACTGTGTCGTGTCCCTGTGTCCCAGGGGACAGTTGGGTGTCGCTGTGTGCGTGTGATTAGCGCAGAGTGACTACTCCTGGGGATGGGTTTACACTGTCCCTCGCCCCCCCCCCGTCCTTTTTTCCTGTACCCGGGGTTGCTGAGCGAGGGACGGATGTTTCCTCTACCATGCCAAACCTCTGTCCCCTCACCTCATCCCCCACACACCGTCCCCTCCACTTCCCTCCGACTCGGGGTACCCCATCCGCGAGGCCCCAGGTGGTCCTGGCTTGAGGATCGGGCGCGAGGTGGCGCCGGGACACGATCACACAGTGGCGGCGCCTTCTCCCGCCAGGGGCTGCGCGTGCGCGGGGACCTGCCCCAGAGGGAGGCGGGGCGGTGGGGGTCCCCCCACACCGCGGCGGAGGAGGTCCCGAGGGATGGCCGGTTACAGAAGCGCGTGGGCCAGGTCGGGCTCAGGAGGGTGGCCAAGGAAACCCCCTCACCCTGTCTATGCTGGGAGCCACCCCCCCCACTCCTGCCTCCCTGCACTTGCCCCCTACGAGGACAGTCGGGCGGGCACAAAGTGTTGTTTTCTCCCCTGCAGGGGAATCCCCGCTGCACCCCCACCCCCACCCCAGGGCACTTTATATAATTTTCTAAATATAAAAGCACCAAGGCCAGGCCGGCGTCTCTGCTTTTTTCTTTGAACGTGCATCCCATTTTGGGGGGCTGTTTGGGAAAGGGAAAAAGGCGTCCTACATGGACACAGGGGTACCTTGGCACCCAACCCTCAGAGTCCCATAGTCTGGTAAACTTCCTACCCCCTGCCGGTCCTCACCCTCCCCTGTGCTCGCCCCCAGCGCTGGAACACAACACTCCCACCACACTCCTGTGGAGTGGGACACGGGGGCTGCCCTCCCCAGTGCAAGCCTCTCCCCCTGTCCTCCACCCAGTGCAGTGGCACACATCGGCGCAGGAACATTCACACCCATGACACAGGTGTACATAACGCCACGCACACAGAGGTGCCCACACAACCACACGTGGACGGGCACCTGCACTTGTGAGAGTGGAGAGAGGAGCCACCCCACCCACCCCCACCTCCAGCCCCACCTGGAGAGCTCTGAGCCCGGCCGCGGGGGGCGGGGGGCGGGGGCCGGGGGGGGGGGGGGGGAATGTCGATGGGACTGCCAGGGGGGAGGAGCAGGGATGTGGTTATTTCACATATGTGCCCCCAGGCCTGCGTAGGGATACTGGGAGGGGTTCTGCTTGTGGGTGGGGGTGATCGTAGGTGTGTATGGTTGTGTCTGGGTATGAGTGTGTGATTGTGAAGGAGTGTATATGTGTTGTGGTCATGGCTGTGTGTGCACTTGAGCGGGTCTGTGAGTCCCTGGGTGCCCTTCTGTCGTGATGCTTGAGGCCAGGTGTGGGGAACGTCCGTGGTTGTGGGTGGGCCTGCGTTCAGGTGAATCTTTATGTGTTTGTGTCACTGGTGTGTGACTGTGTGTCTGTATTCGTGTGACGTGAGTATCTGTGTGGCATAGTGTAGATGTCTGCGTGTCCCTCCGTGGCACGTTGTATGTGCTGCATGTCCCTGCCAGCCCTGTGTCCTGTCCTGCCTTTACTTATCAAGACCAAAGACCTCAGCGTCCCCTTCTAGAACCTGTTTCTCCTCTGTGAAATGGGAACACACAAGGGCTGAGGAGGAGTGACGCTGTCCCAAGTGTGCGTTCCCAAGGCCCGGCACGGTGCTGTGTCCTCTGTTCTCTGGGGGGTGATCGCTCTGGAGTTGCTAGGTGGACACCTATGGTCCCTGCCTGAGCTGCTCTGTGAATGCCACTCACTTTTTAAAAAGTTTGTTTTTAATGAGACAAACCATTCGTGCACATCTAAAGAGTATACCGAAGTATCCCAAGTGAAAACCAACCTGCCTCATCACCCCTACCTGTGTGTGGGTCCCCACTCCGGGGGATGCTCTGGTTTCATTCAGCTTCGTCTGAACCATTGCACATGTAACAGGTACATAGTCTTATAAAGGATGCTTGCATATTTTGTAAAAACAATCCCCAGTGAGATCTTGAGTCTACTTGCAGCATTTACAGTGAGTGGGGGTGGTCTCACCCAGGGACTCTTCTGCCCCGGGAGACACTGGGCCGTATCTGGAGACATCTGCGACGGTCAGGACTGGGGGTGCTCCAGCCAGGGATGCTGCTCAGCACCCCTCCCCCACAGTGTTTAGGATGCCCCAAGCCCCAGCCGAGAATGATCCAGAGCACCCTCGGGTGAGAAGCCCTGGTTTCCAGCTTGTTTTCCCTGCTGTGTCTCTCTCAGAGACATCTGCCGGTGGGAGCCTCTTCTTTTATGGAGCTGCGTAGTATTCCAGCCTGTGCCCATGCTGGCATTACTGATCTGGCCCTCCGCAAAGGGACACAGTGGCCTGTTCCCAAATTGTCGCCATTACTGGTAGAGTAGTGGTCAACACGCTTGTGCGTCTGGATCAGGGACAGTTAGAGAGAAGGCAGAATGAATGATAAGGAGAGTGCATTTTTAATTTTTTAACCAATGAGGTAAACTGTGCTCCAAAGTGCCCAGAGCTAAATCATGCCCCCCGGTCCCCTTCTGGATCCTTGCACAAGTAGGTCCAAATCCACCGATTGCTTTGTTCGGATAACTGCTCGGTGCAAGGCACTGTTCTGACCTCAGCCCAAATAGTCCCTTGTTCACCCATAATAACCCAGGGGGTGAAAACTACCTTCGCCCTTTTTCACCGAGGGGAGGCTGAGGCACACAGGAGTGTAGCTGCTGCTGGAGGAGACGTAGACCAGGCGGCAAGCCTGAGCTAGAGCGGGCCAGCTGTGGACCTACTGTGTGCGCCGCAGGGCCCCTCCTACCCGAACTAGAATATATAGATTTGTAACAGTCCACTGGTGTTCAGGAATTTGCAGAAGGTTCTACTCTCTGCACTGTGCCCACAGTGGTCACACAGGTGTCCTCAGGACTCCCATCTCCAACCCTCCTCCATGCGTCCCAGCACTGTTGCCATTTTACAGTTGTGGAGACTGAGGCTCTGAGAGGGGCAGTCTGTGCTCTCCAGACTTCACCTTGGAAAGGAGCTCAGGTGGCAGGCTGGGCGGGAATGAGGGGGCTGAGCTGGGAGAACCCTGTGCAGTCAAGTGTGACTTTTAAATGTCTGTGAATTTGGAATCTTGTGCTGTGTTCCTGGCCGTTTAAAAAAATAACAAAATATTGCTTTATGTTATGTTGGCATTTGGATTCCTAGACACCTGACTTTCCCCATTCATCCTGGGGTTTTAAATGCACCCCCCCCCCACCGGCCGCCTGACAGCCAAGGGGTTTTCAAACATTTGTGAAGTGCTCATGATGTGCTAAGCACTGTTTGTTTGAATAACCGACACCCACATGCAGTGGGGAGTCAGTGTGGCCCAGGGAATACGTGCTCCGTTGGAGCCCTGCTCCCTCCTCGTCTAGCCCTGGGACCCTGAGCCTGTTCCCTCCCTGTGACACGGGAGAATAATAGGGTTCCTGGCACCTCCCATTACCCAAGTTGGCAAGAGGGTATCATCTGGCATCAGGACACCGGGAGAGACAAATCAAAATCATCAGGCTTTCTAAGAATGTCTCGGTGCACATTGGACCCAAGGTCAAGGCTCTGCTAAGTGTCATTATCCTTATGCCCATGGACCCCATGGGTGGGCACTGTTAGTGCACTTTACAGGGGACAACACCGAGGGGCAGAGGGACACATCACCCTAGTCTGCGGGGTGGGAATGGGAGCTTCAGCAGTTGAAGCTGGGAGGATTCAGAGGGTGAAAGGGGAAGGGTTGAAGTCATGGTCATCAGGCACGCTGGGGGCACAGACTGGGGGAGGTCAGGTCTGTGCCCAGTTACTCTAGAGGGAGAACAATGGAGCTTTAGAAAGGTGGGTTCTGGGGCCAGGTGGCCTGGCGCCAAGCCACTCACCGTGCCTCAGTTTCCAGATCCGTGAAATGGGCGCACTCCTAGGCTCAGTAGGAATTACTGGACACCCAGAGAAGAGGCTGCAAGGGTTTATCTGGCCAGCCTGAGGTTCTGGACACATCCTCCCGGGATGTTGGGGTGACTAATGGGGGATGCCAAAGCAACCCCCCCCACACACCCAGTTCCCCTTTGGTGCTAACTGAAGGGGTGAGAGCAGATTCCTGGAGGCTCTCGGGTTAGTTGGGACCTTTGGGGCTGGTGGGGTGGGGAAGAGTGCACTTGGAGCCAGCCCCTGTGCCAGGGGGGAACTGCAGCCCCCTGTCTGGCTCTCGGGGGAGCAGGGGGAGAGGATGCTGTGGGACCCCCCACTCCTGCCCTGCACCCCGGGTTGTACATCTTTAAGGGGAAAGACGCGCGCTGGCGCCGGCCTCTGCACACGTCACTTCTTCATTCTTTCCCTCCCCCCCCCCAACTTGGCTCTTTTCTCCAACTTCCCGGCCAGCGCGGGGAGGGGGGGGGGTCCTAAAAATCCACCTCCGGCCCCAAAGTGTCCAACAACAGCCCAGCACCCCCTCCCCACTTGACTCGGGTGGGCGGTCCTCGAGGACCCGTGGCGACCGGGCTCTGCGCGGCCGGTTGGTTCCTGTCCGGTGCCCGGGACCAGGGCGGCTCGTAATTCGTAATAATAGCTATGATGGGGATTCATGGGGCATGGGGGGGGACGGCTTTCCTTCGCCGCTCGCGCTCTTTTTTCCCTCGTTTCTTTGAAAGTTGGATGTTGAGAAGTGGGAGGTTCGGGTGGGAGGGGAGGGAAATTGGGGGGAGGAGGGGGGGAGGCTGCCAGAGGGAGGAGAGACAGAGACACGGAGAGACAGAGACGGAGGAGGAGAGAGGGAGGGGGGACAGGAAAGGAAGAGGGAGAGAGAGCGAGCGCGGGAGGGAGGGAGGAGGGAGACCGAGGGAGGAGGCGGCGAGGAGCGCGCCGGCCGCGGCCGCGGGGGGGGGTTTGGAAAAATGACTCAGTAAGTTCAGCGCGCCCGCTCCGGCCGGCCCTGCGCCTCCCGCCGCGCCCGGGATGTATTCGTCCCCGCTCTGCCTGACCCAGGTACGCCCCTCGCTCGGCCCGCGCCCCCCGCGCCCCCCGCCGCCGGGCCCCGGTAGTCGGGAAGCCGGAGGAGGCGGGACGGGAAAGGCGCGCGTCCCTCCCGCCGCCCCGCCGGGGTGCCCCCGCCGCGGGCCAGGGGCCGGTGGGGGATGGGCTGGGCCGGGGACCCCCCGCCCCGACCCTCCCTCGGGACTCCCGCCCCGCCCTCGGCGCCCCGGCCTCTCCCCCAACGCGGACGCGGGACTCGGGGTGCAGGCTGGCGGGACGCTAGCCCCAACCCAACCCGGGAAGGTCTGGGGGCGCCCTCCCCCCCGGAGCCGAAGGCAGGCCTCTGCGTGACCCCCCGCCCGGACCGGGCCTGCCTCTAGGAGGAATCGAAGGGTTCTGGCTGGGTCCCTCGGCACTGTGGAGGAGAGGATCCCTCGGATGTGCTCCCCAGACAGTGCCCCCCCCCGCCCCCAGCCAAGGTTGTGGCCCGCCACCCCAGCCCCGGGACGCCTTTCCCCCCATTATTGGCCCACGTGTGCGTGGAGGGGGAGGGGGCGCGCGGAGTTGGAGGCGCCAGCAGTGGGGGGAGGGGGCGCGCTGACATCCCGGCTCGGTCTCCCGCTCCCCCCGCCCCCCCACCCACACCGATCTGATATTTTCGCCGCATCGATTCTGGATTGTTGCGCCGCCGCCGCCGCCGCCGCCGCCGCCGCCGCCGCCGGGAGGAGCCGGGAGGCCGGGCGTTCCGGGGTCTGGCCCGGGCACTGCGGCGCTGCGGACGCCCTCGCCAGCCCGGCACCTGCCCCTGCCCCCCTCCCGTAGCCTCTCACCCCTGGCCAGGCTCCCAGACTGTCCGGGGCTGAGCCCTTGTGCAACGGGCAAGGGGATGTGTGGGGAGGGGGCGGCTGCCCCTGTCCCAGGCCGCACCCCGGGGACTTCTCTTCTCCTCCAGCTCCCTCTGGGACCCCCCCCGCCGCTGGTCTACTTCCAGCTACCCCCCGTGTTCTCATGTGTCTTTAGGCCAGTGGGGTTGCGGCCTCAGTTTCTCCTGAGGACTAAGGCAGGCTCTGGAGAGAGGGGCAGTGTGGCCTCCAGATTGCAAAGTGCAGCACTCTGGGAGTCCAGCGGGAGCCTGGGTGTCCGGTCTCCCTCCTCTCTCCCTTATGGGGAGCACGTGGATGCCTAGCTTGGGTCCCAGCGACCGCCAGTCTGTGTGGAGAGGGTCCACTGTTCAGGATCTTGGGGTCCCCCTCATTCATGGTAGAATCTTTCTTGCCGCACTGGGGAGTTCCTGGCTCCCGCCAGAAAAGGAGAGGGTGGGTGCGAAGTGGGGGGGGTCTCAGGGCTTGTCCTACCCATGATCCCCTGAGTGACCTTGGGGAAGTCCCTGCTCCTGTCCAGGCCTCAGTTTCCCTTTCTGAACAACTTTGGGGACCCCCCGGAAGTTGTCATTGCTGCCCCACCTCTGCGTCCCAGCTGCCCTAAAGCTCCCCGGGTGCAAGTAGGGTTCTAGTGAGGGTTGCAGCGTGACCTTGGGCCTCCCAGTCTCTGGGCTTGCGGGGTGGCCTGGGTGGCTGTGGGCGCCCCCGCCCCCTCTGCCCTTCTTGCGCTTGCCAGCTCCCGAGAGCCACACAGGGGGGCTGAGCCAGGGAGGCTATTCCAGGGGAGGAGGTTGGAAGGCCGCCTTTTGTCACCGAGCCCTGGAATTCCCCCATCAGGACTCCTCGGGAGACAGGCCTTCATCCACGTTGCTGCCGAGAGGAGAGGCGGTGGCGGTGAGAACCCGAGCCCTGGTGTGAGCATGTGTGCTCATGGGGCCTGGCTCGGCCCTCCCCAGGAGCAGGGCAAGGATCAGCCAGGCAGGCTCCTGGTGGACAGTGAACGCTACCTGAGGTTGCTCGGGGCAAGCGAAGGGGCGGGGGGAGGTTGGGGGGGTGGACAGGAGACAGAGATAGGCAGAGAGAGCCCAAGAGCCCCCCTCCCAGGGCTAGGGTGAGGATGGAGTGGCCCAAATGCAGGGGGCTCCCCTCCCCTGCTCTGCTCCTGCATCCCCCACCCAGGAGGGGAGCCCCAGGACCCCCTGGCAGGCTCCCCAAAGCCCGAGGGTGATCCCCCAGAGCTCCTTGCAGACCCAGCCTGGGCTGGGATCTCCGGCTGGGGGCCCCCGCTGGGAGGACCCCGACTGCCCGCGCAGGACCTGCACTCCTCGCTGGCTGGCTCAGTCTCTCTAAGCACGCTGCCACCCCGCGTCTCTGACCATCTCCATCTCCCTCTCCCCGTCTCTCTGTTTCTCCTCGATCTCTGGGTCTGTCTCTCCCTGTCTCTGCCTCTGTGTCTCTCTCTGTGCCTCCATCTGTCTCTGTGTGTCTCTCTCCCCCATTCCATCTCTCCCGTGTGTCTCCCCGTCTCTGGGCCTCCATCTCCCCCCTTTGCCCGACTAATTTTACAACCTGAGCCCATCCTAAAATAGCTCCCTTTTAGCTGATCCGACCCGGATCCTTGTCGGTGCCAGCGCCCCGGTGCCCCCGGCCCTGCCCGCCCCCCGGGGGGGGGCGGTGGCGGCGGCGGCGGCCCTGGAGGATTCTGGGAGCCCCGTCCCTGTTTCAGTGGTGACTCAAGCGCTTTTTCACTTTTACTCTTAAGAGGAACTGTGTGGAACAGCCGTTACTTCCATAAATCCTGGCGGCGGGAAGGCTGGCCTCCCCGCTCTGGCCCTGCTCCGGGCCTCCCTCCCTGCCTCCCTCCGCCCGCCCGCACCGCCACGTTAGTTATTCCGGGTTTGGGGCCAAATCCCTCTTGGCTGCAGTGCCCAGGATTCCCCGGGGCCGAGGCTGCGGCCACGCCAGCCGCCAGGGCCCCTCCCTCATTCATTCATTCCTCCCTTCATTTCTGCCCCACGCTCCCTCTCAGCGGGGCACCCCTCTTACTGCCGTTTCTCCAGTGGGGAGACCGAGGCTGCGAGGGTGGCCCTGACTTTTGATGGGTTTAGCAGGTACTTTTTTTAAATGCCTCGTAGGGGTGGGATGGGGGGGGCAGGAGGTCGTGGGGTCTAGGCCTGACCTGGGCTTTGGGGGGCTGGGAGAGGGGCCAAGACCAGAGAGGGCCAGGGCCCGCCCTGGGTGGCACAGCATTATGGTGGGCAAGGCTGGCTTTGGGGCCACTGCCCCCACTTGGCTGTTGAGGCAGGCCTGGGCAGGTGGGCGCTCCCTGTGTGCGCCCCCCACCCGTGGTGATGCCTCCGCTTGGCTCCTGCAAAAAGCACAACCTGGCTCCAGGGCTCTCTCTCTCTCTCTGTCCCTGCGTCTCTCCCCCCTCCCTTCTCTGCGGAGGCAGGGGTGCCTCAGCGAGCGCCAGGGCCAGGCGCCTTGTAAATCACGAAGCTGGGATTCTGGCGAGTCAGCGTTCTCTCCCTCTCTCTCCTTCTCTCTCTCCCTCTGTCTCTCTCACCCCCCCACCCCTCTCTCTCTCCTCCTCCCTCTCCCTGTCTCTCCCCCCCCCACCTCTGTCTCTGTCTCTCTCTCTCCTCCCTGTCCTTCCTCCCTGTCTCACACCAAATGGATGGGAAACACTCACCACGGCCGGGGTCCTCCTGCCCCACGCAGCCCTCACACACGAATGCCCATGTCCACACCGACCTGCACACGCGTGTGCTGCCTGCTCCCGTCGGGGCGCGTGGCCCTGCGGTGCCCCGTGCGGGGGTGGGGGGCTCCCCGGGGACTGAACCACACCCACGCACATGCACACACACGTGTGTGTTCACTGCCACCTCACCCACGAAGACGCAGCCCTGCCCCGCCTCCGATGGGCCCTAATGGGGGTCCCGGAGGCAGAGACCAAGGGAGGGCGCCTCGGATCTGCATGCAGGTCTTGCTCAGGAGGCTCAGAACTGAGTTCTTGGCTTCCCGGCTGCGTGACGCCGGGCAGGGCACCCAACTCCTCCATGCCCCCTTGTCCTCACTGTGAAATGCAGTCAACGGTAAATCTTCCGCTGCTCGCGCCACCCGAGGATTCGGGGAGGCAGGACCCCTGTGCGGTGCTCAGTGCAGGGCCTGGCACACAGTAGGCGCTTACAGATATCTGTTGCACGAAGGAATGAGTGGACGGTTCTGCCAGCCGAGAGAAGGAGCTCTCTGAGCCTCCGTCTCTGCCCACGCGAAATGTGGAGTACAATCATTCCTTCCTCCGAGGCTTCACCCTCAGCACAGTGCCTGGTATACAGTGGGTGCCAAATAAATGTGGCTGTGATTATGGTGGTCGCTAAACTAATAATTGTGTTAAATGTCTTGGAGGCATTTCCAACGTACCCTCCCCTTCATGCTGTCACTGTCTGCCCAGCAGGAGCCAGGCCCTGGGCTGGGTGATGGGAACAGCTGTGAGCCCTGAGGATTTGTCCAGGGTCTTCCTGAGTCTGGCCGAACCTGTGGGGGTGCCAGCATGCTCTGTCGCGTGGGGTGCTTGGATGGGTGTCACGTAGGCAGAGGATGGGACTGCTCCCCCAGGGATCTGGGTGCTGGGGGCACAGAGAAGGAAGGCCGGAGATCCAGGGTTCAGACTCCCCGGTCACTTCCCATCAAGAGAAGTTTTCACTCCCACTGCTCTGTGTACCCAGATTCCTCTCAGGGGCCCACAAGACCCTGCACAACCAGCCTGCCCTCCCCCCCTCCACTCTCCTTCTCATCCACTCTGTTTCAGCCACACCACCCTCTTCACTGTTCTCGCAAAACATGAGGCACGGTGCTGCCTCAGGGCCTTGGCACATGCTGTTTTTACTCTCTGGAAACCTCCTACCCTGGCCCATCATTTTTTAGGTCTTTGTTCAAGTGTTCTCTCCTATGAAAGACCCTCCCTGACCACTACCAGCTAAAAAACAACCCTAAGGCATTCCCTGGCCCTCCCCAAACTCCTTTCAGTTTCTTCAGAGCGCTTTTTTCAAACTGACATTTTATTGCATATCTGTCGGCTTGTTTCACATCCATCCCTGCCCCAGATCAGGATCCAGGTGAGGACTGAGCCCGGGTCACTGCTGGGTCCACAGCACCACGCACGGAGCTGGCACACAGTAGGCACTCAATAAATGTTTGTCGAACAAGCAAATGCATCTCGCCCTCATTATGTGGGAGTTATGCCTAAGCTGTGATGCTCTGAGCTTGAGGGGAGGAATTACCTCAGGTTAGGGACACTGACTGGTGCCAGATGGACCTGGGTTTGAATATGGGCTCTGCTATTTGCCGCTTAACCTGGCCTTAACCTAGAGGAAAAGACGTTGGAACCAGGGCTTTGAAGGGCACATAAGAGTTTGTGATACGAATTTAGGAGGTGGTGAGATAGTTCTCAGTAACGTTTGGTGAGTCACTGAGTAAATGAGGGAGAGAGAATCCTTCCTGGAAAACTTGTGGTTGTGAATAAGAGCTTTATGGTCCAGCCCATCCAGCAAGGGCTTGGACCCAGGTGTCTACCTCCCAGCTGCTGCTGCCCTTTTTGGCCAGGAAGTCCCAGTGAGCCAAGTGGCATTTCTGGGAACGACCTGGCCTCGGTCCCCCTCCCCCCAACATTGCCTCTCTGGTTACCAGGAACTGACAAAAACCCCCAACACCCCACAGCTGCCGTATCCCATTCTGCCCGTTGTACAGAATGAGAAACTGAGACCCAAAGCAGAGCAGTGATTTGTTCTGGGGTCAGACAGAGGGTGAAAATGAAGGCCCTTGTCATCCAACCTCTTTCCCTTGCAGGGTCTGCTTGGCAAATGGTGCTTTAGCCCTGGGCCTCAGATTTGGGGGGGGTAGCAATAGAGCCGGACTCCGAACCCCAGCTTGTGTGGTCCAGGCTAGGTCTGGGGGGAATCCCTGAGGAGAGCAGGAAAGGCTGCCTGAAGGAGAAGGAACACTGGAGACAGGGCTTTGAGGGATGTGTAGGAGTTCAGGAGGATTCTCGGGATCTGGCTTGCCTTGACTGTCTCCTTTGCCTGGTCAGCCAGTGAGGGCATTGGGAGGTGCCCTGGGGAAGATGTCTTGGTTGTGGCAGGTCTCGTGGGACAAAGAGAGTGACAGACCTGCCTCTCACCTGGGCTGACCTCCCAGGGAGGACAAGGGAGGATAGGGCAGCAGGTCCATGACCCAGTTACAGACTGTTTGTCTTCCTTCCTCCCGGACCAGCTGGGGTCACTGGTGACGTGGGCTCCCGCCCCTGCCCGCCTCCTTGGCACCTTTCCTGAGAGTGGGCCCGGAGGGAGTAGGGCACGGAGAAGGGGCGGGGCCCAGAGCCAGGGGAGGGGTTCAGAGAGAAAAGGGTTCAAGGAGAGGAGTCTGGGGACCTGTCAGTCGGCCCCTGCTGGCTGACCATCCAGCTGCCCCTTCCCAGCTACCTCTTATCGCTGCCCCAGTAAAGCGCCGGAACTTGGGTGGCAGCCATGGCCCAGCGTCAACACCATTGCCTTGGCCTCCTGCCACCCTGGCGTCCCCTCCTTGGGGGGCAGCGACCTGTGCCTCTCTCGCTTCCCCACCCCCAGCCCCTCCGGCCAGGCAGCCCCGGCTCTGGTCCCAGCTCTGCTGACCAGCCGTGTGACCCTGGCTGAGTCACTCCCCTTCTCTGGGGCTGGTCTGTCAGGTGGCATTCAGGCACAGGAAAGCCCCGTGGAGGTTGGACAGGGACGGGCCACAGATGGGCCCCCCTCCATTCTCCCTTGGCCTCAGCAGGCCAGCCGGGGTTGGGGGAGTGGGCAGTGGAAGAGAGCCCTGAGGTCCAGTGCCCGCCACAGCTGTTGCGGTGACTCACACTTTGGGGGACATTGGAGTGGGGAGCTGGTCTGCCATACGCTGAGCCCCATCCCGCCCCACCCTGGTGAGGGCGGGAGGCTATTTTCAGAGCCTCAGTAATAGGTGAAATCTGAGGTCGTTCCCCTCCCCCACCCCCTCACCCCCCGGCCAGAGGTGCACAGAGCCCTGAGAGCATACTGGGTGGGGGTCCCTGTGAGTGTCCAGGCCTGGAGGTGGGACCGAGCTCAGCCCCATCCAGCCAGAAGGCAGACTGATAGCCCAGAACGGCTGTTTCCCCGAGACCCCAGGCTGTTCTGAGGAAGTGGCCGATGGCCTTCACAGGCCTCGGGGGCCTCACACAGGCCCTGAGGCCCTGTGGGACCCCCAGGTCAGGTCTCCGCCCCTGTCTGGGCCTTGGATCCCATCAAGCACTGGGTCGCGGAGCCCTGGGCCTTCCCCTGCGTCCTGGAAGATTGTAAGCAACCAGAATAATTGTTACAATGTCAACAATAACACTAGGAGTCTAGGGCAGCCTTTCCAGAGCTGGGCGGGGAACGGGGCTCATATCCCGTGAAGAGCTAGCACTCCTGTTCTGGAAGCCCGCACGGCCCCAGCAAGAGCGGAGACGTGGGGCCCAAGGTTCTCTTTGTCTTCCTTTCTCCTGGAGGGTGAGAAACCGGGTCCCAGATGTTCTGCAGAGCTGGTTCCCCTTGAGGAGAAGCGGAGAGATGAGACAGCCCTCCCACCCCCATAGGAGGGGGCAGGGGTCTCCCATGGCGCCGTGTTGCTCTCGGCGGGGGGGGCCTGGCCACGGCTGCTGCTGTTCTCATGGGGACAGTGCTATGTCCTTCATGACTCGGTCCCCACCTCTTGGGGCCTCAGTTTCTTCATCTGTAAAATGGGCGTTGTGACCTCCCAGCAACACCAGTTAGGCATGGATGGGGGGGGCGGGGGTTGAAGTCACAGGTCTGGCCGGGCCTCAGAGCCTCCCCAGGCCTCAGATTTTCCGTCTGAATGGGTATGTCGGGGGGGCAGCCCCAGGGGCCCCTCTCCCCAGCTCTGAACCTCCCAAGGCCAGCTCCCCTTCTCTCGTGTGTTCTGATCTCTTGCCTTCTTGGGCCTCAGCTTTTTCAGCCCCTACAGTGGGTCTGCGCAGGAGCCTCTCCTTCCAGCAGCCTCTGACATCTAGGCTGCCCTAGTCCTGGCCCATGGACCTCTGCGGGGCCTTTCTGCACAGCTGGTCTATGGGAATGACCCCCTGGACCTCATTTTTTTTATTTGTGCCAAGGGCCGGTAGAGGCAGCCCTCAGACTGCTCCCCCCACAATCCGGTGTCAGCTTTCTTTGCTGATAGGGACACTCTCAGAGCCTGGTTTCTCCTGCAGCCATCCAGCAGCCTCTGCATGCTTGGCTCTAGACATTGGAGTTCATACTTTATTTTTATTTTACTTTATTTATTTATTTGTCAGAGAGAGAGTGAGCGTGCACAAGCAGGGGGAGGGGCAGAGGGAGAAGCAGGCTCCCCGCGGAGCAGGGAGCCCAATGCGGGGGCTCGATCCCAGGACCCTGGGATCATGACCTGAGCCGAAGGCAGACGCTTAATCGCCGGAGCCACCCAGGCGCCCCTGGAGCTCATACTTTAGTGCAGGAGTTTGCTAACTACAGGCCTGGGGCCCAGTGCCTGCCACCTGTCTTTGTAAATAAAGTTTTATCAGAACACAGCCATGTCCATCATCTGTGTGTCATGTCTAGGGCTAGTTTGGCGATACGGCACTGAGTTGAGTAGCTGCAATGGAATACTCACCGTCTTGTTCTTTAAGAGGCTTTCAGACTGGGGTTTGCCGCCCCCCCCCCCGTCCTAGTAGACAGCAAATAGGTCCATAACATCCCCGTTCTCCTGACCTCACTTTTCCCCGCCTGTACAATGGGCTGGCCCCCCATCAAGCATCTGGGCACCCTCAGCTTGGCCTGTCTGTATGTTGGAGTTTAAGACAGCCCTCCATGAACCTCTGCCTTGGCCTGCGCCCCCCACATAGTCCAAGCCCCAGGTTCCCCACTTTCCCCACTCCGGCAAGGAGTTCACGCGTCTCCCCCATAGGCTTCTGTGTCCCCTCTGGCCTCGAGTTTTCCCCAGGAGGTGAGCAGGTCTGCAGTGTGCCCCCTGCCCACAGGCGGCTGGCCCTCCCTGGGGGTCTTCCTGGGGCCCCCAGGCCTCAGGCTCCCGGGCTGGGCAGTGGGCCCACGGTCCCCAGCGCCCCCTGACCTCTGGCCTCTCGCGCCTGCAGGATGAGTTCCACCCGTTCATCGAGGCGCTGCTGCCCCACGTGCGCGCCTTCGCCTACACCTGGTTCAACCTGCAGGCGCGGAAGCGCAAGTACTTCAAGAAGCACGAGAAGCGCATGTCGAAGGACGAGGAGCGCGCCGTGAAGGACGAGCTGCTGGGCGAGAAGGCCGAGGTGAAGCAGAAGTGGGCGTCCCGGCTGCTGGCCAAGCTGCGCAAAGACATCCGGCCCGAGTGCCGCGAGGACTTCGTGCTGGCCATCACCGGCAAGAAGGCGCCGGGCTGCGTGCTCTCCAACCCCGACCAAAAGGGCAAGATGCGCCGCATCGACTGCCTGCGCCAGGCCGACAAGGTGTGGCGGCTGGACCTGGTCATGGTCATCCTCTTCAAGGGCATCCCGCTGGAGAGCACCGACGGCGAGCGCCTGGTCAAGGCGGCGCAATGCGGTCACCCGGTGCTCTGCGTGCAGCCGCATCACATCGGCGTGGCGGTCAAGGAGCTCGACCTCTACCTGGCCTACTTCGTGCGCGAGCGAGGTGAGGCGGGCGGGCGCGCGCGCCCAGGGTCTCGGGGTGGCGGGGCGGGGGGAGATGTGCGCGCGCGGGGGGGGCCCCGTGGCGCGGGGGAGGCGGCCCACTCCCGCGTCCGGCCGGGGAGGTGGTTCAGGTGGGGACCGAGACGGGAGGCAGGTGCAGTGGGCGGGGCTGAGGGGGCCTGCCGGCCTGCGCTAGAGCAGGACAGGCACCTGTGCTGTGAAGGTCTAAGGGGAAGAGGTACGGTTCAAGGAGAGTCTGAACCGGGAGGCGGTGTGTCCAGGGGGTTGAAGGTAAGAGGCAGGCCCTTGAGATCTCCGGAGATGAGACCCTGTCCCAGGAGGTCCGAGGGGCAACATAAGGCCTTGTTGGGAATAGGGGTGAGGACAGGACAGGGACCAATGGGAGAGAGAGTCGTATCCCCCCCAGGAAAAGCTGAAAGAACACTGGAGTTGGGCGCTGTGAATGCTAGTTGATCAACTCTCAGACCTTCAGCAGAGGCCTGACAGGTCCCACCTTTGTGCTGAGTGGGAAGCTGGGTGCTGTGTGACTTTGGCTAGGTTACCACCCTCTCTGGTCCCCTGTGTCCCTGGCTCTGGCTGTTCTAGCTGCGTGTTTGCTGGCTCCATGGTCAGTGCCCCACGTGGAGGCCAGCAGGGTCTGTGAGGGTGGGGAAACCCATGGCAGCCTCCTGGAGAAAGTGGTGCGGCAGAGCTGAGCTCTAAGGGGTGGCTGGACAGTGCTGAGTGTGGGGTGTCCCAGAGGGTCAGCAGCCTGGGCAAAGATGTAGAGGCAGAAGTGTGGCCCAGCCTCTGGATGTCAGCAGGGCTGGTGGCCCAGGGCCGGGCCTGGCTGGGAGGGCGGTGGGCCCTGCTGCTTCCTGGCTGTGTGTCCACCTTGGGCCTCAGTTTCCCCCATCTGTCAAATGGAGGTTATCAGAGTCCCTAGCTGGATGAGGCCCCGGGGGAGTCGCCAGATTGTGCATGTAGCATGTGAACGCTGGTCTGCCACGTGGCAGGTGTCAGCTGGGAATGTCTTAGTGTGGACAGAGTCAGGTGTGCTCATAGAACCTAATGGTCACATGTCCCATGCCCCACCAGCACCACCCCCACCGGGCTGAGTCTGGTGCACATGTGGGTACATTCCTGGGGCCTGCATGAGTATGTCCAGTGGGTACACCCAGGTTGCAAGCCCAGCCCTGGCAGATCCCACAGGTGCACACTACCAGAAACAGACGGAAGGAAGGCTGTGGGAGGGGCAGTGGGGGGGTGTCTAGCGGCGACAGACTCAGGGCTCACTGCCCAGAGGCCACGCGTAGCCCTGCCCTTTGCAGCCTGTGTGACTTTGGACACGTCACGGTTCTGTTTCCTCTGTGAATGGGGGTAACCGCCGCACTTCTCCTAGTGATGGGGTAAGGATTAGATGAGGTTGTAGGGCTCCCAGTCTCCAGGGTGTGTGGGAGGGAGAGGTGGGCCGGTTCCCCAGTCTTGACCTTGATTCCTTGACCTTGACCTCTTCTGCCCCCACCCCTCCCCCCATGAGTCACAAACCCACTGGGGCTGGGAGCAGAGCAGCCTTAGGGACCGAGGAGGCAGAGGGGTGGACAAGGTGACTGGCTGTCCCAGGCAGGGGGCAGGGGTGGCCTTGGGGGCTGCAGACGCATTACCATGCTGGTCCAGGCCTCTCCCACCACTTCCATCCTCTGAGCCTGGCCCTGCCCCCACCTCCTCCGCGCTGAGCTGATAAAATTTTGAAGCGAGTTTTCTGCCGGTGTCAGCACAATCTCCAGGCGCCTCCCCTCCCCCAGCCGGCCCCCTCCCCCCTCGGCTCAGCAGGCAGGCTGGGCCTCCAGGCTTCCCCAGACACCTTTGTATCCCACTGCCATGCCTTTGCCAGCCAGTCTGATCGGCCTCCTCGCTCGCAGGCTGGGGAAGGTCAAAGCCGTGCCCGCCCCTGCTTCCAGCGGGCTCCATCATCCCCACGGGGAACCCCTGCTCAAACTGGCCCTGGCCGACCCAGCCGACCCAGCCGCAGCTGGGCTGGGCGGGAGGGGAGGGCCGATTCCAAGCCGACTCAGCTGCTGGCCAGCTGGGTGATCCGAGACAAGTCGCTGAACCTCTCTGTGCTTTCTTTCCTTGCCTTTAAAATGGGAAGCTCAAATGAGCTGCCTGGTTGGGTCCCTGTGGTGAGTGCTCAATAGACAGCCCTCACGGGGGCATGAGGAAACACCAGGCTCGGGGCGAGGGCTCCTCGGGCCCCTGTTCTTACCCCCCTCTCCCCCCCGCCCCCGCTACCATCCTGATCACGGTTACCATTTGCCAAATCCATGCCTGTGCCTTGTTGCTCCCCATGCCAGGCAGGCCTTTCCCGTTTGGAAGACTCCTGCGTATGCTTCAGAACCCTAACTCCTAACTCCACTTTCTCTCTGCTGGGCATTTTTTCTTTCCCATTCTGTCCACAGCCCAGCAAGGCAGGAATCGCTGTTGTACTCATGTCACAGGTGAGGAACCAGGGCCGCCGAAGGAAACAGGGCCTGACTGCCCAAGGTCCCAGAGCCAAGGGAGGGCAGAGGGGGGGATGTGGGTGCAGGCAGCTGCTGTTGATGACAGCCCCCAGCCCTCCACCCCGGATGGTGGTGGAAGAGGGTGGAGGTGAATCATGGGGTACAAAGTGGGCAGCCCGGCAGCCTTGTTGGCACCTCGGGGCTGGGGCTGTGTTCTAGGCTCCCGTGGGCTGGGGTTGCCCTCCAGGACCCCCAGCCTCATTCTGGGTCCCAGTGAAATCTCTGTTCTCGGTCAGGCAGGTGTCAGTCCGACAGTGGAGAGAGCTGGCCGCCCGCCACACTCCTCCTCCTGTCTGGGGGTCCCAGGGCTGGAGGGGGTCGCGGCCTGGGCCGCAGCGCGGCACCCCCTTCAACCGGCGCTGCTGGGATTTGATGAGGAGGCTGGGGACGGAGCTCTAGGGATGTGTGTGCAGGGCGGATGTTGGGGGGGGCACCCCCTCCAGCTGCAAGGCTACCACTTCCGACGTCAGATGGGGGGACAGCTGGTGCCTCGGATACGGCTCCTCAGGACAGACAGCCGGAGACAGACGTGCATGGAAGCACCACACTCAGCCCTGCCCCGTCCTAGGACAGGCCTGGCAGCCCCCAGGGGAGCCGTCTCTCCTGGGGGTCAGGTGGACGGACAGGGGTGCTCCCAGCCCTTCATCCTCAGGTTTATTTGGGGGGATGGAGGAGTGGGGATGAGATCTGAGAAGGCCCTTTCACCTCTGGGGCTGCCAGGCTGGTCAGAGCCTGGGGCGCCTCCTGCGGCTGAATTTGGCTGCCTCAGGCATCCATCTGGAGCTCTGAGGGCCCTGATTCCAGGGGCTGGCCTCAGTGTGTGCCCTGGGGGCAGCCTAGGGGCCAGCTGGGGGGGGGACCATGATGAGGGGATGATGTGAGCTCTGCTTTGAGGCACAGGCGGCTGCCTGCTAGATGGGTGCAGTGGGTGGGGTGCAACTGAGTGGGGGGCCCAGAAACCGACAATTCACAGTTCAGTGAATAAGAACAACGGCAGGAAAACAAAGCAGGGGCAGGGTGTGGAGAGGGGTGGGGAGGGGGGCGCCCCAGACTGAGGAGAGTGAGGAGGGAGGGAGGCCCCAAGGAGGTGGCTCTTGGGATGAGGCCTGAAGGAAGTGAGGGAGCCACAGAGGGATTTGCGTGAGTGCGGCAGGCACGGGGGCACAGCCAGTGCAAAGGCCCAGGGGCCGGCATGGCCCAGAGCCTGAGGAGCAGAGCAGGAAGGCCTCCGGGGACCTTCAGAGGGGGAGGCGAGGCCTGCCGCGTGCCTTCCCGGTGAGGGTGATGGGGAGGCCAGGAGCGGGCAAGCCCGGCCCTCCTCCACCTGCCGTGCATTTGGGAGGGAGCCTGGAAGAACCAGGGCCCAGAGAGGGAAGCCGCTGGCCCAGCCCTGAAGCCCAGCCAGGCCTCCCCACCCCCTCTGGCGGCCTGAGAAACCTGAGGCGCGGGCGGGCGCGGTGCCAGGGCTGGGCGGGGGAGGGGCTGCCAGGCCCGCCCGCTCCAGCAGCTGCCAGCCCGCCCCGAGCCGCCAGCCCAGATGGTGCCCATCTGCTGACGCTGCCGCGGGCCAGCCTCCCGTTCCCGCCTTGTGCAGTGCCAACCTCCCAGAATGGCGCTGTGGGCAGGGGCCGGCTTGGGAAGCTTGCAGCTGCTGGAGGGGCTCCCCAGGGTGCCCCAGGGAGGGTCCCCGAGCCCTGCTGGATGGAAGCGGGAAGCAAGCAATAGCAACATCAGCAGCAGCAAACACGTATTGCGTGTGCCAGACACTGTGAGCCCGGTTCTGAGCTCATCCCACATTTTAGCTCATTTAATTCTCTCCACCATCCTGCGAGAGACAGACTGTTACCTTCTCCCATGCACCAGGTAAGGAAACAGGCCCAGAGACCATCAGCCACTTGCCCAAAGTCACATAGCCCCTGAGAGGCAGGGCAGAATTAGAACCCACAGGATCCTGAGTCCTCCAAACCCTGAAAGGAAAAAAAACCTGAAAAACACTTTGGAGGTTACCAGGTGACGTCCACACCCTCCCAATTGTGCTGCCGATTAAAAAAAAAAAAAAGGTGGTGCTGAATACACAGTGAATAAATGAATGAATAGCGGTGAACTGTGTTGAAGAGCCCACCGTGACCAAGCCTGGGGGCCAGGGTCACCATCAAGCGCACCCTGGGTCCGGACGGCAGTTTGTGTCCATGCTTGCTCCAGGCCATGTGAGACGCATTCTCGTCTCCAGCCTTGGTTTTCCCATCTATAAATGGGGAGCATGAGAACTGCGTCCACCGCACTGAGGACCAGAGGCAGTGATCCTCAAAAAGCATACAGGAAGCACTAAATAAATGCTCGGTCCCTTCCCGGATCCTCTTCCCCAGCCCCAGGAGACAGTCGGGGGGGGGGCACCTCAGTTCTGCTCTGAGACCCTAGGCTTCATTCTTCCCACCCAGGG